CACACACACACACACACACACACACACACACACACACACACACACACACACACACAGTTCCCCAGAAATGGGGACGTCTGACTGTTTTTTTCTTTCTTTCTATTTTGCACAGTTTTGTTTGTTTTTTGTGTTTTCGTCTCTCTTTTATTTGTGACTGATGTACTACCAGTACGTAGAGGCTCTGCAATCAAGGTCGAGGCTCGGCAATGATCGGGCTGCCGGTCGCCCGAGCCTCGGACTTGATAGCTGGGCGAGGTACTGGCAGAAAGTGCATCTTTTTTTTTTTTTTTTTTTTTTTTTTTTTTTTTAACAATGGGTCCATTCTATTCGTGGGGACAGCACGTGTTGGGAACCGGGCCGGACGTCCCTTATAATAAACATTTGAAGGACTCACAGTCTACCCAGATCCCGGTGTCGGAATACAATCCATAAAGCACAATATAAACTGAGTAACGGGAGAGAACCTGGAGGGCAGATGTCATGTGAGAGGACTAAGATAACAGGTGGAGCCTCGTAATCACTGTCCTGAGATAGTAGTGTGTAACCCATGCGAAAAGTAGCAGACCCTCTCAGCAGAAAGCTGTCTGATAGGAAGAGACATGAGCTAGGTCTGGGGGGGGGTATATCACAGGAGTTCAGTATAAAAGATTCTGTCTTTATCTGTCAAGTCCACCCATTTAAAGGGAATGACCATTTCTTATGGAAATGATGCCTGCCATTGCCTGGCTAGTTCCGTAGACACGGACTGAAGTTTGAATTTAATCCAATCAGCCGTAATTTCCAATCTGATAGAATGTTTAAACTGTGATATCAGAGATCAAAGAGAGGATTCAGAGTTGAGGAACCATCTGTCTCTTCTAGCCAACCATAGGATCCAGAACACCCTAGTCCTGAAGATTTGAGATATATTCCTATTTGATTATTACTTGTGTGGATTTAGTCTACCTGTGATGATGAAGTCTTGGCTCCATATATAGCTGTAAGCACCTGCCCACCAAGAGTTCATTGTGTCCCAAAAGCCTCTCGTAATGACACATTCCCACCATAGGTGTATGGGGGCATACATCGCAGCAGGTTGAGATATCCATTGAATTTCCTCTCTTAGCGCACCACAGGGCAGGTAGGACACAGGACACAGAACGCAAAGTGGAGGTGTATCCATTGGAGGCCTCCAACCTTTGTCTCCAGAGAAGAAGGGATGAGATGGATAAAGAATAGGAGCCATTTGGAAGCCACTGGTTGGAGCTGGAGGGAGGACAGCCTTGGTTGCCAGTTCAGTGTGCGCCCTGCTTGAAGTGCCTGTGCTTCAGAATGAAGCATAGCCCACTTCAGAAGTTGTTCCTATACTTTGTTGGTTATCCCATCAGGACCTGTGATGGACCAACCATACCTGCAAACATCCATTTTCCAGCCTGCATGATAATTCTGAATCCTGCGGAGTTTTGTGCAGTCCGGATCTGTTGGATCTTGACTTCCTCCATACCTGTAAGATCAATCTGGTGAGCATCCTTAGTCTGAGTTAAATGTGACGCAGGGACCATTCTGATGCTTCCACCATGTTGTCTTCATTGATCTCATCAATCCTGAAAAAGGTATCTTCTGCTGTATCAGCTTTGAACCACTGATGTACCTGTACCCGGTGGTTCGTCCTCCGTAGTGTGTCGAACCATGAGGCCGGGATGACACTGATGATTTCCTTCATGTAATCTGGGGAACGATTAAGGCCAGTGAGTTCAGGTTTGAGCTCATTGATGTCTTCCCATTTCTTGCGCTCGTTATCCCATATGTGACGAACAAGCCATATTCGGCGCTGCATCCATTTGAAACCGTGGCTATGCCACAGAGAAAGGAAGTCAAGCTTTGCTACGGATGAAAGGGTTCTCGAAAAGGGGGGTATTAAGTATTTCTTGACAAGTATTGGGTTTATCCAGGAGCTGTGGGAGCATCTTGCCCCAGGTTCTGGATGTGAAGGGTCCCACCTTTTTTTTAATTAAAAAGCCCAGACTGCAGAAAGTGCATCTTCCAGGCTGGACAGTGCCCATTCCTTTTTTTTTTATAATTAAATAGCCCTCATAGTTGTAGTGGCCAGAGTTCGGACACACGGGGATATATGTAGCCAATATTACCCAGGGGGCATGCGGTTCTGCTGGCATGGCCCACCTAGCTAACAGCGATAACCGGGCCAGCTTTCTTTTTTTTTTACTTTTTTTTTTAAACAATTAACAGTAGTATCAATTTGTATTGAAATATCAATGGAATGAGGCCGGGGACCGCACAATTCCACCGGGAATTCTGGGGCCATTACCCAGTATAGGCACAGAGCAAAAACTGCAAATCGGGTTCAGCATCCCCTACTTCTCTGTTTTTTTTTTTTTTTTTTTTTTTTTTTTTTTAAACATGAAAGAAGTCGATGCAGAAAGATGATCAAGGACGGAGATCATGAAGTCCTACATAGAGGCAGAACCCCTCCTGGAGGCTGTAAACGAAGATGAAATGCATTACTTTCAGAGAAGATCCATGAACGCGTACCCCTTCTTGGCTATGAATCCTAAAAGGGGATGATTCATGAGTTCTAAAAAGGTACATGAGCTCGTTGCCCTTCTTGGCTATGATTCTCAGATGAGAGCTAAGAAGAAGAACATGTTGAGTCCTAAACTGCTCCATGAGCTAGTGCCCCGTCTTGGCTATGCTTCTTGAGGTTTAAAGATGAAGATGAAGATGCGTTCCTTCCAGAGAATATCCATGAGCTGGCGCCCCTTCTTGGCTATGAATTTTAAGATAATAGGAAGATAAGGGATGATTCATTAGGTCTAAAAAGATACATGAGCTAGTTGCCCTTATTAGGTATGGGTTCGAAGGAGTAAAAGAAGATGATTCATAAGTCCTAAATGATCCATGACGCCATGCCCCGTCTTGGCTATGCTTCCTGTCATGCGCTGGATGAAGACCCTCACATACTCCTCATCATGAAGACCACCTCGCCACCTAGAGACAGTGGCGTCCGGACGTACCAGTACACCATTACGAAGACGAGGAAGACAAAAAAAGGGATGCATGCGCCGTTCTTCAGTGCGACCCTCACGTCCTCCTTCACCGTAAGGACCTGCTTCCCACCTGGAGGCAGTGGAATCTGGATGTGCCGTTACATTCTTGCGAAGATGAGAGAGAAGGACAACGAATGAGAATCTTAAGTGCCACCCTCCCATAATCCGCGTCACCATGAAGACCTGCATGCCACCTGGAGGCAGTGGGGTCCGGATGCACCGGTACATTATTACGAAGACGTAGACGGAACATGATGAAAATGCGTAGACGGAACATGATGAATGCATGCGACCTTACGTGGAGGACGGCGTCGTGATGTTCATGGCGTCAGTGATCTGGTGCCCCTTCTTGGCTATGGTTCCCGTCGTGCGCTGCACGACGCCCCTGACATACTCCTTGACCCTGTACAACTGCTTGCCGCCTGGTGGCATCGGTCCCCTGAAATATCGGTACAACCACCACAGGCCGAAGATCGCAGCCACAGTCGCCGCCAGAACTCCACCGACAGTGAGGAAGAAGAGGACGACGGGAATCCATAGCGGTGAGGTGACCAGGATGAGTGGAGAGAAGAGAAGGAGGATGCCTCCTACGAGGACGAGAGCTGGCAGACCGACAACCAGCAGAACCGGGGTCGCCAGAGCGGTAAGCACCCCTCCCATCGTCGCCAACACCAGTGCCCATCGCTTGTAACCCATGCTTTTCAAGCGTTGGAACAGGGTCTTCGCCTGCTCTGGTACCACCTCCTGGCCCTTGGCCGCCACATCTGCCGCCTGTCGCGACATCTCCTGCGCCTTCTGGAGCGCCTGCTCCTTCAACTCCGATACCGACATCTTCCTCTTTCCGGTGACGTCAACAAGTAGACAAAGAGCGGACCAGTCCTGAACCGCACCCCCCTCAAATGTGCAGTAAATCACCCTCCTCTACCACGTTCACGCAGGTACTAGCACTTTTTTTCGAGACCCGGCTCCTGACAAGATATGTCCCCGTAGCCGCAGCTAGCCTCCACTCCGAAGCCAGGCTAGCTATGGCTGCTCGTGCAACTTTTCACGTTCATCAGCGCTGTCCACAGTCCAGTCAGCCAATTTGAAACTCCTCCGTTCGTCAAGATGAGAAAGCACAAGCTGCCTTTCTCGCTCTCCCAAATTCCTCCGTCTTGACAAGATTACAAAGAAGAATCTCTCTCTCTCTCTCTCTCTCTCTCTCTCTCTCTCTCTCTCTCTCTCTCTCTCTCTCTCGCTCGCTGTCCCACTTGATCTCCTTGTCGCTTTGCTGAGCCTTTGTGGTCGTTTTATTCATATTCCTTCTCTCGGATTGGCTTGCTTCATCAGCTTCCCTCTCTCTTACGCCTCTCCCCCCACCCCTCCCCCCACCCTCAATGCCTCGTATCATGAAGCGCGCTGACCAGTTTCCCCCCGTTTTGACCCTCGCCCCCCTCCCCGACCTTTCTTCCCTCCCCCCCCCAACGGTGGCACCGTTATGTCTTGTCAAGTGAGACATTTTGCAGCAGATAACCAGGCTGCCTAGATCTGCCTGCCATGAATCTGGCCATAATCTTAGTCACAGTGCTTTGCAATCGAAGCCGAACAACCACCGCAGCACCAAGGGGGCAAAGGAAAAAAAAGAAATGGAGCGTCGCTGTGCTGCCGGTTCTTTCTTTTTTCTTTTTTTTCCGGGTCCGTTTTGTTTTCCGGTTGGTTGATGGTTTCTTTTTCTTTTCTTTTTTTTGGTGCAGCCGATATGGTAGAGACTGTAGAGGAGGATATCCAAGACATATTTTGGTGGCCGGTGAGAATCCCGACCTGCTCTGAATCTGGCCGTCAACGTCGTTCAAAGTGCTTCTCCCTGAGTGCGAGCTTCCCAGACAAAAAGCGGGTGCTGAGGTCGATGCCATTTCATTTCGAACAGGGTTGACGTCAACCGATAACTGCTCGTCGTTTCTTTTTTTTTTTTTTTTTTTTTTTTTTTGGGACAAAGCGCTCCAGTCTATTCGTGGGGAGCAGCACGTGCTGGGAACCGGGCCCAGCGGCACCGGGGCCTCGGCAAGGGACCTCACAATTCGACCCGGAGTTATCCTGGCAGCTTCAGCCAGTTTAGCTTACGAGCAGAGCTCGGCCATCAGACAGAAAACATCGTAGTCTCTCCTACTGCTGGAAACCGGGTCCAGCGTCCCACACTCTGAAACACTTCCCAAAAATAAACGTTGAAGCTCAGAAAAAAATTAGTTAACCAAAGATAAAAGAACAGGGGAAGGCCCTTCTCCCTTCCTCATTAGCCAATCGTGACTCTGGCGGACCTAATGAGCGGTCCTAGTTGATCTATTGTGACTAGCAACCACTAACAGGAGACAAGGCACAGCTCAATCGGGAAGGGATTCGAAGAAGTGTTCAGGATAGCCTTGAGGAGAAGTAATGTACTCTGGGCTCTAACACTGTATCTGCAAAAATGGAAGCTATCTCAGGATGCCTAAAAGAACTACCTGGAGACACCCTTCTTACAAAGGTCTGGTTCCGTATGCTGATCCGAGAGCAGCCTAACACGGCTGCTAATAGGCACCCTCTATGCCTCATTTACCTCTGTTCTTAAATCCGTGAATTTGTCACCCTGTATGCCCAGCCACCCAAGTTTACCCTCTAGGTCAAGGGAGACAATCCTGTCCCAGATATTTTTCAGCCAAGTCGGCTCTTCCCTGCGGCTTTAGTACCAAGATTGCGGCTGTGGGCTCGGACAACGTGTCAGATTCTTTCCTTCACCATATGAACCTGTTGCTGGAGAGGAATCGCCTCACCTCTGAAACCCTTGCATTCCTGGCCATCCAGACGACTTCCATGAGCAACCCCCGGCAGACCAGGGCCACGTAGCCCCACCCTTTGGTGTACTTGTGTGGTCCGGGAAGCATGCCGGTCAGCATCCACTTGTCGGTCCACTCGAAGGCACCCTCTGTGATGGCCGCCAGTGTTTCTTCCACCATTCGAGTAATTCATCTACTAACGGGCAGCAAAGCCACAGGTGAATGGAAGACTCCCACCCCCAGTTGCACCGAAGGCAAGTAGTGGTTATTTCCATACCTCTGGAGGCTAGCCATTGGGCAGATGCAGTAACCATCAGCGACTGTAACCACATAATGCTGGCCTGCTTTTGCGACGGTACTTTCTCAAGTGCCTTCAATTGACATTTCGTTCAAACTGACATTTTTTTCTAAATTCACGAAAGTGGACTTAGTCAAAATTCCATTGCTCGTTGGGTGAGAAAGTGGTTATCTCACTTTGTCTATCTGATGTACCTCAACGTAGAGTACCGTTAACATACATCCGATGATCAGATCATCGGGAGTCGCCACGACACCCGATGATCCGATCATCCGACGTCATGGGGACAAAAAAACACTCAAAAAATGCTGTTAAAAAATGTCAGTTTTAACGAAATGTCAGTTTTCCACATCTGTAGAAGCCCTTTGTCAGAACATTTTAGCATAGGTGAGTTCTCTGATCTGCTGATTGCCACTGTTAAGGGCGTTTTCCTCTCTTCTTTTGCTGGACTGCTACGCCCACCCTGGTTTTGTACTGCATAAGTGGGACAAAGGACTGACTCAGAGTTGGTCCAATCCTTTCCCAACCGAACAGTAACAGTTCTATTCTGACGTGGGCTGCATCACCCAGCAGTTGCGCTCTGACTCGTCCGTCTTTCCCTTTCTGAACCCCTCTTCCCAATCCCATGTCTCAGTTGAGACTCGCTCTTCATTCGCTACATGTAGTGTACCTGTCTTTTCAGTGTCGAACACTGGCCTGGTCCAAGGGACCACACCTGTAGGTGGGTGCCTTGGGCCAAGTCTGGCCCCAGAACCTTCAAAATAGTCCTCCTGTCCTCTGGGGACCTCGGCTATGTACCTTCTGTGTGTTCAGCAGTCTTGCACAGTGTTGTAGCCCAATGAGGAGGGAGGGCTGGCTTCAGCATTTCCAGATGAGTTTTTTTTTTTTTTTTCCAAAGACTCAGTAAACCCTGGTAGGTAGGGTGGTAAGAGCAGCCCTCCCTACTAAGGTTTGCATTGGTCACTCCATCTATTGGTGGGGAGCTGCACCTGCTGGAAAACGGGTCCAGCGTCCCTTCTCATAATATAAAGAAATCATGCTGATAGAGACCAGGCCTGAGCCTCTTCACCCAGGGTAGGGCGCCAGAAATGAACTTTTAATTCTAGCTCTATTTGGTGCCCAACTCTTACTTAAACCACCAGTACTTGGCCCAGCTGTCGGCCGCGAAAAAAAATAGAGTAGAAACATTTCTAGTTGGATGAATTTGGGCGCTCCTGTAGTGGCCCGTACGTTTCCTAAAATCGCGTAGCGTTAACGGGCGCGACTTTAGCAAGTACTGGTGGTTTAAGCTATGCTAGATCTCTCTTTTCCTTTCAATATTATGTTTCTTCATAGCGCTTCCAGACCATGCCATGACAAAGGGACAATAGCATTGGGGGACGGGGGGAAGGGATTGGGGAAGTCCAGCATTGGGCGGAGAGGGATGGAGGGATGAACCTCAGTCCACCCATTAAAAAATAATTTGTAGCTCCTATTTATCTCTTGCCCCTCGTCCCCTATCTCACCTTTCCATTCTATCCTTCCAATTTCCCCCCTTCTGTCCCCCCCAAGCCAGTCACTGCTGAAGGATTTGATTGCTTTGAGGATAATATTATCCGCTTTTAACAAGCTATTCGTGAAAAGTGGACCAATGAAAAAGTCCAGTTTGCAAAGTCCGCAATGTTTTACATAGAAAACTATTTTAGGTCAAACGCAATGTGACTCGAGGCTCATATGTCACCACAACTTCGAGGAAAACCTATTTTTAGCAAAACAGAAAAGCTTGTTGAAAAAAAAAAAAAAAAAAAAAGGTTTTTATAGAAAATTTGAGGATAGCCACTGTTGTGGTTATAAGAAGAGGTATCCCCAATGGAACTGCGAAGACAATGAAACAGGAAAAGGGTCCCGTGTGCAGGGGCCCCTGCATGCATAGGGAGGGGTGCATGCATAGAGGGCCCCCCATATATATAGGGGGTCCACTATATGCATATAGGGCCGCTTACATGGAGGCCCAAGGGGGGGCCCTGCAAGGACCCCCGCATATGGGGGGACCCCTGCATGCATATCTAGAGGGGGGGGCGTGCATGCAGGGGGGATGCCCATATGAGGGGCCCTGACATGTATGGGGCCCTATGCACAGGCTAACCCCTCTAACCATTCCTCCAATTCCTATGTCTCGATATGGGTCGGCCCACTATGTGAGTCATATATGGGCCCCCGCGCATAGGGGTCCCTCATGCTTGCATGACCTCCACACATCCATTTTTCTTGGGGGGGGTGCATGCATGGGGGGCCCCAATGCCTCCCATATATGGGGGACCCCATATACGCGGGGGCCTCATGTGAGGTGCACACATGCATGGCCCCCCCCATGTATGATGGCCCCTCATGTATGGTGGCCACCCATGTATGGCGGCCCCCCAGGCGCATGCATGCATTGGGGGGGGGGCATATATGCCCCCAATTCATATATCTCAATGAGCAATAACAAATCAAAATTCGATACTTGTAAAATGCCATAAGCTTGATTTTGTTGTTATCCAGGGAACAGTTGAATCCCAAATTGCACAACCAACCTTCCGCTGCCTTCAATCCCCCACCTTCCCCCACATTCCACTGACTTCAATCCCCCACCTTTCCCCGCCTTCCTCCCCCCCCCCTTCACCTTTCTCGGCCTTTTGGCTAAGATAAAGTGTAGTATCTGTTCTGATCAGTTTAATATATGATCCGTCGCCTATTGGGGCACTAAATAATAATAATAATAATAATAATAATAATAATAATAATAATAATAATAATCCGTCACCTTCCTTTCCCTGCCTTCCCACACCTCGCCCCGTCTTCCCTCCCGCGCATTCCTCCGCCTTGCCCCGCCTGGCCTCCCCTGCTATCCCGCGGC